GGGCATGTTGCTTGTCTGAGAAACTGACCTGGGACCGCTTCGAATTTGGGATTATACCGTACAGAAACCTTGTCAGTTTTTCAGGCAGTGCGTTTACCTCTCCGAAAAGTGTCACCGAAATTCGAGCGAGTTGTACATCGGCCTTGTTTATCCGTGGGCCAGCCTTTCGAATGCGGCTTAATTCGGCTTTCAAATGAACTGTGTGGTTTGTTTCCGGAATGCTATACACGATGGCACCGTCTGCGTCTACGGCAAAATTCTGTAGTCTGTGGCGTTTTGTACCTTTATTTTACTTCCATTATACCACTACGTACTCCATCAATTGCATAATCGTTTTTTGTTTGAATACGAAAACTACAAAAACGCGCACTTGTACAATTCACAGAATACAAGCGTGGTCACGTGTTTCGACTCTCTCTTCTGAGTTCGCTCGCGCTTGAAGCGGTCATTCGCGAGTCTCATGTACTAACTCTGGTACCAAAACATTTCAGACATCTTCGGAATCTATTATATGTGGGAATTGTTCAGAAGAAGACCTCTGGACCAACATAATTGGATTGTTGTTTATTCACTGACCTGGGCCAACGACGAACTATTTTAAAGAGAACAATTATTAGTGAGTCTGTTCCGTCTGGTCTCTTTATTTTTGTACACCCAACCTAGCGTAATCATTTTTATTTGTTTGCCACACACTCTTGGTAAACTAACTTATTGTGTAGCCAGACCACTACAAGTCTCTTCGTGTTGCGAAGTATCGAACGATGCGTTGTCACCCATCATGCCAAACGGCATTCGTCTGAATTGATGTCGGTTGTCCCCAATCGTTAACGGCGCTTTCTATGTTCGTTCCGATTTAATGGCTAGTTGCGAGTATCCGTGACGCTGGTTGTACGCAGTGCAATATAGGAACAAATCAAAATTACATACAACCGGAGGGACAGTTGCCACCCGGTTTACGGTCGTTTAATTCGATCGATCAACGTCCAGGTCTTACTGGTATAATTCACAACATATAATGGAAAACTCTGCCTTTTGCCAGCAAACTTGCAAAACATTGTGCAAATAACGAATACATACTGCGGGATTTTAACTAGTACCAGCAATTATCGCCCAAAAGTTGTTTGCAGGAGTGCACCCGCATACATTGCATCCCCAAATGCCATGTGTATTCTAGAGTGATAAGAGGATTATTTCTTCTGGAAAATTATCTGAAAGTTCCCTCCAGTGTAATTGAGTCAACGTTTTCCAAAAGTCGCAATTCATTATTACATTAGGCAACGTATTCACAGTCGCCGGTGTTTGCTGACCTCAAAGATTCACTCACCTAAACAGATCATTATGGTAGGTAATTTGCGGCAACATAGGAACATACAAAATATACATAGACATTCTACCCTATGAAGTCGCAAGCCCGAAAATACCGTTGCTTTCGAGAAATCAGTTCTATTGTGCGACTACTGAGCGGCATTTTGTTGTACGCACTGTTATCATTAGTGCCCTTTTTCATCATTTCTTGAACTTGCTTATTGACCATTCTGTAGATAGGGCGGTAGCAGAAAGGTGCCGCAAGGCCAGAAGCGTTTGGATAAAGAAAAGGTTTGGTGTTTGTCCGCAAGCAGAAGCCAAAAAGACCATAATCTCCTTGGAACACTCCGGAGTGCTGCCTGATCACAGACTGTACTAACGGAACCTTACAAAACGGAAGACTTGGTCAGGCGGTTCGCTTACGGCAGTGCTTGGGAAACCTTAAAGTTTGAATAGGTCATAATTTGTCACCAGTTTGCTCCACCTCAGGCCTGCCATGGATTCCGCGCTCTTGAGAAAACCCGCTCTCAAACTTGTCTGTTTCATGTCTGTGCTTATAAGGAAATCATGCCGGACCGAATTTTACCCAGGCGCACCGATTGCATTGAAAGTTCGTCATTTTTCAATCGGAATCGACCCAGTGTCTTCTCGACCAGCGCAAACGGTCTCCATTCAGCTTCCACCCCTCTTCCTCAGTGACACTCTGGACCCTCAACAACTATACAGAGCTCCTTTTTCCCGTCTGCCTAGATAACGGCTCATATCGAAATCTGCACCACAGCACTCACACTCCGGAAATGTGGTGTTTCAAAGAGAGTTGTTATTTGAATGTAGTCGCGTGCGGCGACAATGATTCTTCCAGAGATCAGGTACGACGCAGTAGTAGCCTAGCTCCATTCGAGCATGTATCCGTTGCTCTGCCTTCATGGCCGCAAGCTGCTTGATCACTTGTCCCACTTTGGTCCACCAATGAGTTCCCACTTCTCCTGCGGCTGCAGTCTGGCCAGTAATGCTCCGGTCTATCAACATGACAATTGCACCAACTCCTTCAAGCTAAGCTGGCCAGTTCTCCTTGCTAAGCGCAAATGGGCCCAAAGTCCCGGTTGCACACTTTCGACGGACTGGTCAGACAGCAACTGCTGATGAGAGACCGCGGGCAGTCCCGGCAAGGCACGATCCAATCATTGCTGCAGGCTAGCAGAAAACACGATCGGGTCACATCCTGGTCCTATTCTGGCAGACTTGAATCGCCTCACAGCCTCCTGGTGGTCGGTCCGTGTGTCAGATTTCGCTGCATGGGCTACATTCGCGGCAGCCTAGTCCATCTATCGAGGGTTTTATCCGGCGGTAACGAGAGCCGTATTCGCCCGCCTCTGAGAAAGTTCTTAAGTGCCGCCATCTTCCCCCGATCGGTTACCAGTCGAGTCACCTCTGAAACATCCTCAAAGTCTTCCAGCGATTGTGGCTACGTGATTTTCATCCGTATTCTGGTCGCGGAACCGAATGGAGGGAGGAAAATCTTTTGCATCTAAATAGTCTATTGGCAAACGCCAACTGTACGATCCTGTGCTAAGGCCGTGATCTCAAAGCAAGGAATAGGTTACTTAGCCTAAACGCACGATCTAGGTGTCCTATCTGACAAGTAACGTGTAGTCTAATTCACCAACGGACGGTCAGTAGTAATTGCGGCGAAACCGAATTCTAAGAACTTCACCTGCGTTTGTTCAGTAGTCGCAATTGGGCAGTGAACAATATATTGAATTGGACTTGGGCAGACAGTACAGATAGGTAGACCGTGGTTCTGCAGGAAATTAACAGTAAATCATGAGGAGAGTTAAAGAAAGGCTTACGGCTAGATTGAACCTTGGGCAGTTAGCAACACAGGATGGCACACGAAGGGCAGCGTGCTATCGGACAAATTAAGCGGGAAAATTGTTCAGTTCAAAGTGGAACAAAATTTCAACAAGTCCATGGATAAATGTAAACAAATCGTCTATAGAAATGGTTGTGGTAGAGTCGGCTTTGTATAAAATAGAACGGTTCAGTCTTGAAACTTAAGCAGTCACGGAAGGGTGATGAACTAGTCTGAGGAATAGGGAAACAAATAATTACGTCACGTAATTAACACCAACTAAGCAGCTAAAAACATTAGACACGAAAGTAGACATTTCATATGCACATGGTTTTTAAAATTAAATATTCACAAAAGTCTTTCGTAACTTTCACGGATACCCATTGACTAGTGAACAACTGTAACCGAGGTGATTGGGCTTCTGACATACGTATAGCGACTTTAGTTGTAGAAAACGAAGCAGCTAGTGGTAACGCAATCGGTGACTACGCAAGCCCGAATCGGTTTATGCAAAACACATGAAGCTAAGAGTCTGTGCGCCACCAGGCTGTTAACCGCCGGACCATGTGCATTTATTTTTTTTGAGAGGTTTGCATTAGGTTCCCAGGGGTGTCAGCTTATTTGAGGCGAGATATGCGCGCGAATAGATCAACACTACACTAAGCGGACTCTGTTATACAAGTGCATGCACATACCAGCATACTGTTTGCAGTTTCCGCTAAGATAGAACAGACAAGAGCGATATTTCGGAAGTTCCCATCTATAATAAGAACACAGATGGGTCGACGAACACTCTTCCAGCAAGGTCTGTGCAAGTCATATGATTGCGAAGGCTAAGAGAGCAATATTTGAATGCGTGGTCTAAATGGACAAGAAATCGTGAGACGACATCGGCTACCTATAAAAAAACAATTAGTTCAGGTCACGACTTGAGCTTGTCAGCGCGGGGGTGGGGTGCTGTAGTTGTGTTCAGCACAAGGTGCATGTGTGAGGGGAGATGAGTTGGACAACCCGATCCTTTGTCGGCAAAAACGTTTTATTAGTGTGTTGTACTAACCATGATCCAACTCACCTCCCTCACGCATGCACCTTGTGCTGAACACACAACTACAGCACCCCCCGCACTGACAAGCTCAAGTCATCCTTTTGGTGACCTGAACTAATTGTTCTTTGATGGGTGGCCAATGATGTCTCACACGGTTTCCTGTCCACTTACACCATTCTCATTCAAGATGGGAGTGAGCTGATTTATAGGGAGTGGTCGAAGAAGGCAGGTTAGAAAGCTTCCCGGGGAGGTGTTGGATGCTACGCTGTGTGGAAACAGACTGGTAAAGAACTGATACAAGGGATATTTTGAGGTCTGAACGCTTGAGCAAGGGCTGTTCAATAGTACTGAATATGAATTGATACCGGCTGGCGCGCGAGCACCATGGCCACGAGGAGTGCTATTTCGAGAAGATACGAAAATTTTCCTGAGGCGGATATCCTGTAGAACAGGGACAATTTGACTGAGACGGTCATAGGAAGGTCGGCGGCGGAGAGAGCAGTGTTGGGCTGATGCAGCTTTCCCCGTTAAGAGTAGCACTGATGTTGGCTGTCCCTCCCCAAGCCCTTCCTTGGATTGTTTTATCGTGCCTGTACCATGGACCTGATTACGGTGCCATAAAGTTTCATAATAATACCGTACGAAGGCACGATAAGTCAGTTGCCTGCATCACGATCATGCACCAATCGGCATTTTCTCTAAAGATGGTGAACTAAGCCTATTATTCTTATTACCACAGTTGGATCTGAGGGATATGCAGCAACGGGCGAGGCGCATGTATCTTATGCTATTTTCAGATGCGCAAGAAACATATTGGCTGAGACAGTTCAGGCTGGTGAAGCCATTTACGTGCAGCAGGTAAACAAATGTTTGAGTTTATGTTGCTACGAATTGAGGATAATTATTGAAAGAAGAAAAATTCTGGCCACCCTTTTGTTTTTGCTCTGTCACTTTCTTATAACTTTTTGAAATAGAAGGATGGTATTAAATGCAAGAAATACAATAAATAAACTGGTGCAAATAGTCCTCAACCGCGGTAGTCCGACCTTGCGAAGCCTTTCCAGCTCAAGACTCGATGTAAGGCTGCATGCAGTTTCTTCGACACGAAGAAATTTCAGGCACCCGGAAACAGGCTTTTACTCAAAGTGTCCTACCGCTTTTCATTTTCAAAAACCTGTGCATGTTCTTTCTGCCATTACCATTCCTACGGATTTCAGCCCATAGATTTCTATAGATTTCTACAGAAAGGTTTTATCACACGGTCATGCAGGTCGCCCTTCACGTAGACCCTAGCACAGCGCCCTGGATTTATAGGCCTTAGTTACTTAGTGTGTTCAAACAGTCTATGGCCACGATCAAAACATCCATCTCTCAAGAAATGCTGCATAGCGTGCATCCATGTTTCCATGACGAACGTGTCTGCTTGTTATTTGATTTTCCCATGTTCAGTGGGGTCCTCGAACGGTATTACTGTGTGATACTTTGCGTAACCATCATAGCTCTCCCAACAACTGTCATTTTACAGTCAACCTGTTATCAGCAACGTGAAAAGGTGGGGACATCGTGCGTTGGAGATGGTGTAAGATCCGGGTAGCTAAGAATCTCGTAGGACAGTCAATAAACGTCTTGGATCAAGCAGAGCACACAATCAATACTAGCGCAATCTGCAGAAGCATAAAAATGGTGAGACAACACCGCCTCCCTGTAATAAGCAGCAGGTAAGTCTCAAACAATGTACAGACGTACACGCACGGGCTGCCGGTCAGTGTTAATGCCGTAAAGTGAAATGTCGCAGAAAATAATTAGTGTGTCCCGGAGGTGACGAACTGACCTTGGCTGATGGCGCAATGGAGCAGCTCATATCATAGGCCAAATTGGATTGTGCGCATGGGTCCGTCTTCAGCAAAAGTGAACGGGTATAAAGACATCTTAAAAATAGGGTTTCCTGGGGTGGCAAGTCGGTGTCGTGTACGACAACTCACGCGCCGTATTCGATCACTGGTTGACCCGTTTCTCCGGAAGAACGCCCACTCAAAATAGTTAAGGCTGCCACCGACTTACAAACAGAAATGGACAGCCAAAAAAATATTGACATCAGTTACAAGAGTGTAAGTAGACACTAAGTGTGCGCAAAAACCTGGAAAACGAGCAACAAGGCGACGAAGTGGCGTTATAACAAACGGGTGTAAATCACGCTGCTACTGAGTTATCGAAGCAAATAACAAATAACCTCTGATCACCATTGGTTCACGGGAGGGATCGACAGACGGTTAAACTGATAAAGCCGACACAAGATCCTGGTGGTTATGGATCTCACAGGACGATTGCTATTAGATTATATGCAGTTCGTAGCCAGTGGACACATGTGGGCAGCAGATAATGTGTTGGGAGCTGAGAGGAACTGGTTATACAGACAAACGGATTAGTGAGCATCACGAGTTAAGCAAGCGTACAATCAATAACGACTCAGCGGCGGAAAATATTCACGGAGGCAGCATGGGTTTCTAGAAGCGACAATAAGCGAGCACACGCAGTATGACAGCGTGAGTTGGCCGTATAGAGAGATAACGACATAGAAATCAGCACGTTTGGGATGAGTGACTGTCTTCTAGTTGGTGACGTGATGCGGCAGCTCGTGTCACGTGACAAGTCGGGTTGCGCGGTTTCATCCGTTTGAGACAAATCTCACCAAAAGCCATCTGGCGGGTGCGTCACATGTGAATACAAAAGATAGCTCCCTACTGGGCGTCAGGTTGGTGTAGTGGACAGCGCGTTAGCCCACCTATCGGGAGCTTCGGGTGCGACACCGGGTCAGCTCGCTGTTCCGTCATGGTGGACGCTCAAAACTAGGGACAAC